TACGTAATAGTCAGACATTCCAGTGAATCGTATTAAAGAGCTCGCGCGTAGTTCTTTGTAACGTTCACTTCGGTAATTCTTGTAATTGTTCATGTCAGTTGTGGAATAAATTGGAAGTATCAAAATGCCGATCGATGTTGGAATATTTTTGTCGAACGACATGTAATTTCTGTAATTTTTCATTTCAATTCTCGGATAAATTGGAAATATCAAAATGTCGATCGACGGTCAAATGTTTTAGTGGAAACGGTTTTTATAGAATCTCGGCCGTACTTTTCAATTCTTCGACGCGATTATTTAAAAATAATTTCACCGTTGCGCGCGGAACGGAACTTTCATTAAATTATTCAGTTCGAAGGATATATTACCTCGCTACTTTCCATTATATCAGAGAAACGCATTGTTCTGGGCTCGGTGTATTGTTATAAAGACGTTTCATTTTTGTTCGGACTCGTTCGAAAGTTTCCCGAAGGTATATAACGGCGATTAAATTTTTCAAGAAAAGCTTAAAGCTCGCTGCTTCTTTCAAAGGAGGCTCGCCCTTAAATATTAAATGCCCGGCAAAGTATATGCCGGTTTCATGTACCCGTCCCGACAATTACATCGCCGAAGGAAAGCACGGGAACGAGCCTCGCCGTCCATAAAGGAACAAAATATAATCTCACACGAGCTCCCTGACGCTTCCGAATCACAGTTGGGAATTAATTCTTACGACTCTGCGAGTTTCATCGTGAAATAACAACGTCCACTTTCATTAACGATGATGATACCTTGCTCCCGTATTTTCCTCCCACTTTGTGCACGATAAACAAGGAAAGGATTAAATTCACGGTTTCTAAATAATCCGCGTGTAAATACAAAGCTGGCAATCCAGAGTACCGCGAAAGGCACCATAGAAATTCCTCGTGGCCCATTAAGTCTAATTACAGCGTAATTAAGTTTTTTGTTCGGAGTAAGCATAATTTTTTAATTTTCCCAGTACCGAGGAACGCGTATTAAGGCTAATTAACGAAACCCAAGTTCTACTGGATCGCAAGTGATTAATAATAAATTAAATACTTCACTAAATGGCATTTTCGTTACTTTGTAGAGATAATCTTATATTTTCTACATCTCTTTCACTAGTAAATCCGAGTAAAATAATGAATTATCATTTAATATAATGATTTGTAGAGATAATCTTATATCTTCTATAGCCCTTTCACTAGTAAGTGCGAGTAAAATAATGAATTATCATTTAATATAATGATTTGTAAAGATAATCTTATATCTTCTATAGCCCTTTCACTAGTAAGTGCGAGTAAAATAATGAATTATCATTTAATATGATATTCTGTAGCATACACTTTATTCGAGTGTACTTTAAATTCCACAATTTCCAAGTGCGAGACACGTCCGGTTTCACGGTAAGCCCAGCTAGCTCGGATTTCAGAAAAATACCTTGGAAGTGTATGAAGGTTAATCTCCTCCGCGCTGTATTATTCCCATGTCTCCGAAAGGAAGTACTCGGAAGCCGGTCTAATCCGTCCCTTCAGCCGAGAAGCCGCGAAAGAGCGTCACAATCGATAACGGTTTCGATTCGTCGGCGAAGGAGCACGCGGAAGGGACCTCGGCCCGTTGCTCTAGAATTGCGTTCTCGCGTGCGACTCCGCATGGCCGCGGTCACCGCGTGCCAGGCATTCAAATGATTCGAAAAACGAACGACTCTCCGCGAGCCGGAGACATTCAAGAGTTGGTAACGCGATCGTCGTAGATCATAGCCCCATGACAAAAATCGTACGAATCAGTGTTTCCCAATGTGAAGCTTCCTTCAGAACGAGCAGCGATTAGAACTTTCTATTAATTCCGTCGTCTACAATATCGTGTCAGACTCGTGAGGAAGAGTTCGAACCGATTTTGAAAAATCTAAGTGTTACTTATATCTTTCAACCGTAAATTAAATATTACGTTTCTGTTATTAACCATTAACCGTCGAAGTAAACGCATACATAGACTACGCGTGAAAATTGTGTCGATTCCTGATGAATTATTCACGATAGAGTGCATCGATGATTGCTAAGAAATAAATCGTAGGACAAGGGGTTAACTAGTCAAATAGACTACAAAATAGAGATAATCTAATTAGATGATCAATTTTTCTTAGTGGAAACAGAAACAGAAGGGAAGAGAAAAATTGAAAAACTTAGTCGGATATAAGAATTGATATAAAATTAAATGAACGAAAGAAAAATAGTTAAAATGTTGACATCTGTCGCTTCATCGAAATGTTTGTCAAAATATCACAATAAAAAGCTGAAGATACGAACTGGAAAACTTAATCGAACGATATAAGAATTGATATAAAATTAAACGAACGAAAGAAAAATAGTAAAAATATTAACATCTGTCGCTTCATCGAAATGTTTGTCAAAATATCACAATAAAAAGCTGAAGATACGAACTGGAAAACTTAATCGAACGATATAAGAATTGATATAAAATTAAACGAACGAAAGAAAAATAGTAAAAATATTGACATCTATCGCTTCATCGAAATGTTTGTCAAAATATCACGAAAATTGGTGATAAATTATTGATATCGTAATATGTTACACGATCCTTTTACTATAGAAAGTTTACAATAAAAGGAAGATATTCGAGATGCGACAGTATCTGAAAGGATCCGAAAAAAAGGTTGAGACATACTGAGCTAAACCCTCAAAAAGTGAAGAAACTGTGTCAGTGTTGAAAGCGTAATGGACTGAAGGAACGTGAGCCTCGCGTTCGTATTTTTATCTCGGCCCCCGAGGCTGCGTGTAATAAACTCGAATCACGCGATGCGATCGTCCCCTGACGGGCCGCGCGGAACCGTCAGCGGGAACTTTGACCGATCAGAATCGTCTCTCCACCTTGTTTCGCGTCCTCGAAATTTAAGGCGAGTCAGCACGGAAATTTTCCTGCGGGAGGCATGCTTCTGCTGCCGATACCGCTGATCGAGAGTGATAGCACCCGCAGCTGCGTGGTTATCGAGAAATATGTGGGGAGTGTCGGGGAACAAGTGGCACGAGTCGAGCAATGGGGAGCCTTTCTTCTTTCTAACACGATTCTGTATATTTCCACGATTCCGAAGATTGAAATCTACGGCACGCCTGGAGAATGTGGTCGGTATTGCATTTGTAAAGTTTCCTGCAGATGGATGAAAGTTCCCTTTGAAACTGCGTACATTTTGTTGAATATGTAAGTAGTAGAGGTCAGCGATAAACGAACCTCGAGGATTTTTAATCTAATTCTTCGGAGACGAAGTCGATATATTGGCAGTATCAACGTTTAGTATCTACGATGCGAAGCTGTGAACCAATAATTGAATTATTCGAATAATTAACCCTTTGCACTCGAGAGGTGCATCTCGCTCACCAATTGATTTCATACAGTAAAAGTATAAAATTTGATACTTAATATTACACTTTGTAGAATGCATCAATTTGAGGAATATTCAAACAAAATAGCTTTGTCCCTCGATGTAAGTGTGATTTCGAGTTAGTTTCACAAAATATCCTCTCTATCTCATCAGAAAACGTTAAAATATTTCTAATGAAAAACTTCTGAGTGCGAAGGGTTAAAGGTTCAAAACTTCCTCCTAGTATTCAACCCTTAGCACTCCAGATGGTTTGTGATCAGCAACTGCGACTAATTTTTATAGTATCAATAGCAAAATGAAAAATGCTATAACATTTCTCAGATCTTTTATTTTCTTGGTACTAAATTCGGATGTGTGGAAAATCGAATAATTTTAGGGTAGATTCTTTAAGATTCATTAAATGTAATATTAGAACTGGTGCAATATTGGAGCCTACAGAGTTCAAAGGGTTAATCCCTAGCGAAAATGAGAAATGTTATAACATTTCTCAGATCTTTTATTTTCTTAGTGCAAAATTTGAATATGTGGAGAATCTAATAATTGTAAGGTAGTTTCTTTAAGATTAAAATATCTAATATTATTCCTGCAATGTTGAAGCCTACAGAGTTCAAAGTTTAAGAATCTCGATATTTAATTCAGCTTCCTTCGCTGATTTCGAATATTTCAAAAAATCCTCATGCACGAACCAATACTTGAAATTTCTAATATCTCTAATCTAATCTAATCTAATCTAATCACTTGTAATCCTCCTTAAAAAGTATACACGTCCCAAGTTCAGGGAGTAATTCAAATAAAAAGAAACTATCGAACACTCGATTCATTCGTCGGCCAACGCCAGCTTCCTCTCCGCAGTTCATCGGAATTCCGAAACTCTCGAACGATGAACCCTGACTGATTCAGCAGCCGATCAAACAGAACCGCATTCCGGCAACTCCCGCAAGAAAACCGTTCAACGACGGTCGGCTGCCATTCCACCGTGGTAAAAAGGAAATGGAACGGTCACGTAACTCCGGGACGGGCGCATCCATCACACCCCGTGCCTTCCATCACGGCGAGCAAAACGAAAACCGCGACACGGCTCCCCGATACAAATCGACGCGTTTCCTAATCAAACCCCGGAAATGGACCGGCGAAATTCGTTACACCCGTTGCGTCCGCCTCGTAAAAACGCTCCGCGCGATTCCTTAATGAAAACCCGTGGCTTTGGCCTTCACCTCGATCCTCGAGCTCTAGAATCAGTCTGTCGCGTTATAGTCATTCGAAGCTCCCAAGTGAAAACTGTTCAACGAAAGTGTCTTACAAGCGTGTCATCGTCGTAGCAGCTACGCGTCAGAGACGTATAGATACTGACCCCTAAGGTCTGCAACTATAACCACAGAAAAGCCTTGAATGACTACGACCGTCATGAAAACAAATCTGACATATTCACACGCGGTCCTCGCGTAGATCGATGTTACTCGATACCGAAAACTCCATCGGAACACTATACGTATCCACTCGTCCTCCAAAATATCCCATGCAAACTTCACCAAGATCAATCATTATCCCATACAGCTCCGTCTAACGACGTTACAGAGTTTAATAAATCCTCCAGCGCAATTACCTCCTTCCCAATGATCCCGGGCTCCGAAGCTTCTCACACAATTGCTCCCGTTTCGTATCACAAATCACCAGTCACTTTGAGTAAGAAAGGAGGAGATCGATCGTTCTGCGCGGGGTCGATCGAGATATTCCTGGTTAGAGATCACCGAACTCGGGGAACCGTCGCGGATCGGGTCGAAGGATCACGGGCCGCGCACGTGGTGCCGCGACGTGCGCCCACGCTAGACTGGCGCTCGCTCGCTCGCTCGGTCGGCCGTCTGACTCGTCGCTGACTCTCCCTACTGCGTGGTTGGCCGACCGGCTGGATGGCGTGGGGTGGATGGCTGACTGCACGCCGAGAGCAACCCTTTCCCTCGTCCCACGCCCCGCTGTTCTTCTTTCACCCCGCGCCGGGGATACGTTGCAGTCACGCGTTCTCCAGCCCGCCTCGAGAAAAGTTCGAGCCTTCGATCTGCTGCTGCTGCTGCTGCTGCTGCTCGAGACCCCCTCTGGGATCCTCTGCTACCGTTGAGAGGATTTTCCTAGGGATTTTCCTAGCCGACGAGCACCGTTCCTCTTTCGGTGTTCCCTTCTTGCCTAGCCTGGCCCTCGTTACGAAACAACCCTCGGTTTCGCGGGGATTCCCCTTTTTGCAGCCTTTTCGAGTTTATCGTTTGATTATCTTGTTCCTCTGATTCGGGTGTTTGGAGTTCTTACGAGTCGCCTTATCGGTGTTCGAGTGGAAGTGATCGATGGATCGAGTGGCAGTGAATAGCTCGATTATGAATAGTTGGTTGACTATGAATTAATTGGAGCTAACGTGGAGTTTTCGATTCAACCGTTGGAATATCGTGTTTGAAAAGTGTGTGTCGGATGGAGAGTGGTGCTTTATGTTTGAGTTTTGAATGAGTAACGTTGGAAACCGGTTCGTTTGTTGATTGACAGATATTTTGCAGGTTATTAATTGATGTTCAGGAGTGACGGGTTACCTCGAGATTATTTTTGGCAGTGAGCACTTTGTAGATAGCCTGAAGGTAGGAATGAAGTTAGCGGAGGAAGACGTGGAACGGAACGACGAGGGTGAGAAGGTTTGTGGCAAGGGATGACCTAAGGGTGGTTTACGATCCCGATTCTCTATGAATTTATGGTGGTCAAGGTTTGGCGAGCGGCAGCTCTTGCATAATAAAATTGAAATTCATAATATCAGTAAGCTATGTATAACTATTGTATACATTTCCTATATATTAATGGATGCGGTACATTATTTAGCGAGCTAGAATATTCACTAGCGTTACGACATCGTACCGCACAAAATGTCCCAGAAGCGCAGTTTAATATTATCATCAGAATTATCATGGCATTCCGCGTATTCACGGTGACATAAAGCCGAGAACTTAAAACACACCGAAACAAACAGTTCATCGTGTCTTAACGGTCTTTGTATCATTTACAATCTAACGAACTCCTCTCCGACTCGTCAAAGAAAACTGTAATTCCAGCCTGCTTAAAATAGTCCATGAACCTCCTAATTAACAAAAATATACGTGTTCTGATTATCGCTATCGTGCGCGACATTTTATTTCCGACCACGCAGCACCGAGAAATTTATAGAAATTATTCCCACCTAGCGACATGTTCGTGAACAAGTCACTTGACGTCTCCGCCGAACGTCTGCCTTGACGATTTCCAAAATCTTCGACACTAGAACTACCGTACCAGTCAAAATGACTGGTTTCGATTTTTTTGTTTAGCAATTATTGATATCTTCGAAGCATTGAATATTCGGAATGATTTTGAAAATAAATAGTTTCATTTGAGTATTATAATGAATGTCTGAAGAAACCGAAAATAATCTACTGTTAGAATTTTTATAGGGATTACATATCAATCGTATTAAATCCTCGGTAGTTCTAGTGTTAAAATGATCAATCATCCACAGTCTTGGATATTCTCGTAACCAAGGACTCGGAAATTCTTAAGTTAATAAGAGATTACCAACAGACTTAACCCTTTGCATGAATTGAATTCTAAATTTGATCATTTTGTTCGGTCAAATCAAATGGCAAAGTCGACAGATACACTATAACGCAAATTGCTGAAAAGTCACGACGTCGATGATAAGAACAGTCGCTCGACAAAGATGCCGGTTACAACTGCAGTATCCGCGTCTCCCCTCCGCGCCCCTTTCGATTATGGCTCCATCAAATTAGTCTGGCTCGCGGGAAGTCATACAATCGCGAGCAACCTGTCTCGCGCGCCGGCTTCCCAGACCATCCAGCGATTCCAGTTACTTTGAAGTTTCCCGCGGAAGGATATTTGCCTGTGTGGCTAGCGTCGCTTCAGCTTCTTTCGTTATCGCGCCGCTCCTTAGGCGCGATACACCAGTAAAAGTAAATGCTGGACCTCTTGTGCGCAAAGTTTCGTTAGCACCGAACGAAGAATCTTAACCCTAAAACTACCAGAGGGGTCAAATGACCCATGTCTGATGTCTTTTTGTAATTATTAGAAAGACAAATGTTTCTCTGAGAAATTATTAAAGAAATTCATTTAGCACTACGCAAATTGAATTGTAAATCAATTAAAGTCTGAACAGATGCACTCTTGGAGTTTCTATAGCGAAATTTTCAAAAGTCAATTGAAGTGCTCGGTAGTTTTAGTGTTAAGACAAGCGAGCGGATACTTGACATTACAATAGTATTTACTTGATATCCTTAGTAAATATCAAGCGTTACATACATGAGTTGTAAGTAGATGTGTCGACGTTTTGCCGAGATCAAACTTTCATATTTCGAATACTGAGTTGCGAACGAATGATTTAGTAACTCAAACAGCAAGGGATCAATGCATAGTTTCCTTTTCCTATATTGCTTGAGCATACGAGATATCATTATATTATCTGCTGAAGGTTTTGTGCACTTTGAAGAATCTTCGTCCGTAAAGGGTTAAGTATACTGTTCATGAAAGACAATAAAGAAAGAATTCTTAGCGAATTGATAATGTGAGTCGCTCTTTAACACTGGAACTGCGGATTTAAAACGATTGATATGTAATCCCTATAAAAATTCTGACAGTAGATTATTTTCGGTTTCTTCAGACATTCATTATAGTATTCAAGTGAAGCTATTTATTTTCAAGATCATTTCAGATATTCAATTTTAAGATACCAATAATTGCGAAACAAAACGATCGAAACCAGTCATTTTGACTGGTAGTTCTAGTGTTAATGTTATTCCATGAGCCACCACGCGAATTTTCGCTTAGAAACGTTGAACGTCGGATCCGAACTTAACTTGGCCACGGTATCGATCAGCGAGATCATCTAAACTGTTGCTGCACCGAAGGAAGACCCTCGAACAGCCGGTTTCTCGCCTCAAGTTCGCCAACGGGCGCCCTTATCGTTCGATCTGCGCCCTTAAACGCGACTATCAGGTGGAATCGTAACGGACGATAGCGCCGGAATTAGAGGGAGTCGCGTTTAAACAATTACCGGCCTTTTCAACGGACGATCGCGCGCCGATGGGAACCGCCTACGACTTTTATCGAACGATTTACTCGACGAACTCGCACGAACCCGGTCCCTGCGGGTAATGCTTCGTTTTCGTGGGGATTGAGATTAATTATAGCGAACGATCGAATGGGAACTCCGGGATTTGAGGAATGATAGAATCGAAATAGCTGAGTATTAAAAGTACCGTCTATTAGAAGTGCAACAGTCACCGAAATAATATTCGAGTTTCCCAAAATGAAAATGTTCCCTTCTTCGATATTAACACTAGGTTTACGGAACGCGTCAACTTGACGCAGATTGAATTTTATGAACATTATTTGGTAAATGTTTCAATCGGTTTTCGTTGATCCAATTACACGAATATGAATCCTGATCGTCTATTTCTACATCTACAATTTCCAAAAGCTAAATGAACGCATAGCAACTTCCGCAGGAACAATAGAATAAACTGTACGATAAATGACCGTAAACCTAGCGTTAACCCTTTGCACTCGGAAGCTTTTCACTAGAAACATTAGACTCTTTCCTATGAGACGTAGATGACATTATTTGCAACGAACTAATCAGAAAACATACGTAAATTAAGAAACAAAGCTATTTTACAGAAATATTTCGCATATCGATGCATTATACGGAACTTAATATTATATATAACACTTTGTAATTTTGTTATATCGAATCAAGTGGTGACTGAGAGTCACCTCTCGAGTGCAAAGGTTTAAAAATACCTTAACCTACGCTAAGAATTCTAGATACTACAATTGGGCTGCGGTGTTTTGGATGTTCGATAGTGGGGGATTGAGAGATCTTGTCTGTTTATAGGCTTAGAGTTCAGAAAGGAGGATAGTTATTTTATACAGTGAATCGAATGATTTTAAGGATAATTTGGAAGCGGAGAGTAGAGATCTTTGAATGTCTGGAGGAAGTGTATCGAAATAGATTCTAGTTTTCGTAGGAATATGCTGGATTGTACAATGACGAGTGAGACTCGTGATGAAGATTTCTAGACTAATTTAACAACAATCAATGTTGTTCACCCACGGATCAAAACAAACAAATATTTTGCTATTATCAATGTATTATATTCAAATGAAATTTACATTTGAAGTGGAATGGAAAATTTTGTTGCATTTCTTCCAAATTGTCGATAGTAAAATATTACATGAGCTTAGTTGCGGAAGTAAAGCCAAGGGGTTAAAGGATGAAATAAATGTAACATAGCCACGTTCGCCTAGTGCATCATTATGAGTCGTAAAATTCGCTCCATCGACTTTCGAGAGCTCTTATTCTCGCTGTCAAGTGTTCTCTACTTACGGCACCACTTTCACGAAGATAAAGGGAAAAGCAAATTCTAGGGATTTTATTGCGCGAATTCAGAACAGATGATAAACCAGCGGGAACTGCTTTAATAATTAATGAAGTGCATCCTGAACCGAGATACTCAGCTGTAAAGCTGATTTAAAACCGCAATTACTTTCGCGCCGAGTTAATATGTCCCAAAACGAATACGTAAAAGCGATGCGGTACCTTCAGCTCAGTACCGGATGTCAATATCCGTAAGGAAATGCTAAAACGAGATTAATTAAAATCTGCGAAGATCTCTCACGAGATTGATTTCATAAACCCGAATTCTGAAAAAGGTCTTGGTTAAGTCAAATTAGTCAATATTCGCAAGGAAATGCTAAAAGGAAATTAATTGAAAACCACGAAGATTTCTCACGAGAT